AGAGTCTCCAAACAAACAGCAGAGCTCCTGCCCAGCTGACTAACTGCTCCACAGCGGCTCTGACTAATTAATGCAGATGTATTAATAGATCGCTCTCCAGGCCGCTGTGCCTTCTCCCCTCAGAAAGATGGCCAAATAAACAAGTGAGGGAGAGATGATGTCTGTCTTCGCTCTAGTAGATTTTCTACCACACTTACCCATCAGAAGCATCCATCACATAATCAAACACCACAGTCACTTAAGAGAATACAAATTGATTTTAGTTCTTTTCTGGCCCAGTGGAGAAGATGATGGAGGAAGAAGGACAGCGGGAAGAGAGAGGGATGGGAGGACTTGGGCTTGTCTGATCCTCCATCAACAGGAGGGAAAAGGGGAGAGTGATGGGTGCAGGCATAAAGACGAGAAGGCTGCAGACAGGACGAAGAGGGGCTGAAAGACTAGATGGTCAGATTCTGGTGTTATAATGGATTTTAATTTCAAAATTGAATCCCAGAAAAGTGTCTGAAACTCTCAAATCCAGGTTTAGGTTGTGGACTGCAGTCGGGCTCTGGACACATCTCAGGGAGAGTCAAATCAGATCTGTAACAGGCGAGGCGCCAGGGCTTCTCAGGTCTGCCTGTATTTACACAGGGTTACTTTAAAAAAGACATTGAAACACCCATGAATGGAATAAAAACTGAGAGGGGAGGAAAAAGGAAGAGGCTTCCTCTGTTTCTTCTTTCCTTGTTTCCTCCATGCCTTATCTCCTTTTCTCACCCCCATCCTCCTAAGGGTTTTACTGCCTCAGATCTTCTGGTTTTCCATCTTTAAGCGAAGGCAGCCCGATGCTTTCTAAGGCGCTGCCAGCTGCTCGTGTTTCCTCTCATTTTCCCCTCCCCATGTCGATCGCACTCTCTCTCTCTCTGTGTCTTGTTTATCTCACTCGCCCTTTTCATTCCTCTGTCGTCCCTCTCCATCTCACAGACATGCATTTTCTCTTTGCCTGAATGAAACCCAACACTCCTGTTTCAAGTTTGTCCATCATCATCCACTTATCTCCCCTCTCTCTGTCTCCCAGTCACCTTCCCTGTTCCTTGCCCCCTCCCTCTGAATAAAATGTTACTCTCTCTATGGCTCAGCTCCTCTTCATCCCTTTAGCTCCCCATCTCTTCCTCCATCCCACCATCTGCTGAAGCCCAACATCAGATTGATCATGTTTTGTGTCGTGCTTTTTATGTTGTTGCTGTGATGCTGTCTGCCGGCTCCTCGGTCCTCCTCTGACCCTGGCCGAGCCTTCTGCCTTCTCTCATTTCTGTTAATCTGATGAGCCTTTCCTGCACAGCTTCGAGATGACACAGCAGAACGTGGGCTTGGAGCTTGTCATGTCTTCGCTTCTGACAGCTTGATCTGTGGAATATAAACATAGTTTTCTACCAAATCTTTTTAGACTTTACCAGAAGAAGCCAAAGTTCTCAGATATTAAACTGCTGCTGGGCAGCGACAGAGGTTAATGATCCTGTAGATCGAATTAAGACAGGAAACATCATCCATCAGAAACATTTCCCCAGTATAAGCTGCATCACAGCTGATCTGGAGACTGTTGTCTTGTATCAGTAAACTCTTTTAGTTAAGTATCAGATTGAAATTTCCTGTGTGTCAGGTGGCTGTGATGTTTCTCTACTTTCCTTACAATATGTGCTGTTACATTATTTCTGCCAGTTATGAGACATTCTCATCAAAACCTGGATAATCTCATAAAGAAATTCTAAATGCAGGTGAAAGTAAATAGTCAGCCTTGTTGGTGTGTGTGCTGTTAGTGTGCATCTACACACTGTGGTGTGACAGATGTCACAGTCTAAATGCAAAAGCATGGTAATGAGCAGAGGCATCTGGGATGCACGCTGGACAGTACATTATGTTACCTGTCCAAAGACGAGGCTGCAGGCTGACAGCTGATCCAGCTGTGGTCCAGACTCCTCCGCTCTTCTCTTCTGCACTTTCCTTTTAGATCTTTACTGTCCTGGTAGCTGTTCCCTCCTGGTCTCCTTCTTATCCTCCTCATACCTCCCTGCCTGTACTCTTCCTCTCCCTCGTCTGCTCTAAGTATTAAACACTCAGCGACTGTTGAGCGGCGGCGTCTTTTATTTTCTTCAGACTTTTACTCCTCTCTTTCCGTTACTTTTTTTTATCCTGTTTGTTCTTGTCTTCTTCCCCTTGTCCTCTCCATTTGTTTCTTTCTTCCCCTCCCCCAGTCATCATCTTCCTCACACTGTCACCTCTTCTCATCTTTCTCTAAACATTTTCCTTTCCGCTCCTCCTCTCTGTATCGTACCCATCCTTGTCTGCTCCTCCTCCTCTCCGCTTCTTCTCTTTATCTTTTTAATATTCTCCTCCTCCTCCAGTTGACAAAGTGACGTACAGGACAATCAAACTCAAAGCTACAATGACTAACCACAACACAGACCTCTGCCTCTCTCTCTCCATTCACTGTCTGTGTCACTCTCTCTGTCTCTCAGCAGCTTGTAAATAATTGAACATAAGTACATTTGGTGAAATGTCAGCATGGGAGTGACTCGGGCTTCAAACCTGTGAAAACCAGCGAAGGGACATAAACACAGTTGCACACTATTTTTGTGTACACACACAGCCATTTGGAGTGAATTGTATTTCATATGATAGACTGTGTTGTTGTTGAATAATTGATGTCTCCATTATCCAGCCCACATAGCTGGGGGGGTTGGGAGGCGATCAATACAGTGACACCTGTGCACTCCGCAGACACGTGCATGCACGCAGCAAAGTAATCGGGAGTGTGTGCAATGCATATACACACGTTACATTATGCATGAAACAATAAGCTCACAGTCCTCTGTGATTGGTGCACAAATACATAACACACAAAGCACAGTGATGGTAACTACACACAGATGAATGACTGACAGTGTCCAGGGTGAGACGGAAGACAAACGCGTTCCTATTAGGATTCTTTGTCTTGCTGCTGTTCAAGAAGATAAATGTGCTCTGAGTTTGAAACTACATTTCCCATAATGCTTTGTAGGATGCAAAAAGGAGGTATACTGGTGATCAGTATACATCAGTGAGTTATGCTGCGTGCTTGTTTGTTTTAGCCTTTACCAAGACAGCACCATTAAGAGTGTTAGCTGTTGGCAGACGTACATACACTGGAGTTGTGAGAGTCCTCAGGCAAGTGGCGCAGTTATGAGGACCATCTTTTTCAGTGATTTCTAACCAGATTTGTGGGCATTTATTGGAGCTGGCCGTCACTGATAATGTCTTGGAAAGTTTGAGTTACCCAGAATCTAAAACGTGTAATACCCATGGAGGGACTGAGTCCCAGCAGGCCCCTGGGCACCGACCACTGACTGCATCGCTATGGACGACATGTCAGCATTCCCTTCTACTACGCAGAAGTGCAGCCAAAATACTGCAAATGCAGAAGCTGAATTACTACTGTGTCACTTGGTTAATTAAAGCAGTGAGAAAATAGTTGGACCGGTGCTCAGACAACCACATGAAACATGTTCCTGCACATGTTGTGCTCGTGAAGAAAGAAGCATCATTAGCTCTGTGGTGGAAGTCAGAGGTTTTACATGTTAGAGACAAAACTCCTCAGCGACAGAAAAGTGCAGGTATTTTACTTTATTATAAAAACAGCTGTAATTAGTGCTTTTCTAAAGGGAAACGCAGTGATGATTATAAGTGCATGTGTATATGTGTGTGTTTGTGAAAGAAACCACAATAGAGAGTGAGAGATTTTCATCTTGAGCAATTAAAACTCTATAAATAGTTTGCTGCACCAATTAAACCACAACTGAAGCAGAAAAGCTCGACAGCTTATTTTTGTTTCTGTCGTACACACATTGCACTTTAACCCAGAGTGTGTGGGTGCGCCTATAAATACCTTCAGAGCAGTGTTGTAGGTTTCATTATAATCACACATGAGATCATTTGACTGTTTCTCAGCCTGTTCAGTCTCCATGGAACTTCACATCCACACAGCAACAGACATTTTACACTTTAGTTGGTCGCTCACAGCAAAAGGAGGAAATCTGTTGCTCATTAACGTCCAAAGCAAAGCTTCAAATGAGGCTTCAGTTAAATTTGTTGCAAACTTTACAGTGTGAAAACCAGCAAACGGGCCTGAAACTCATTTGGAGTGAGTAATTTAAATGGATAATCTGTGGCTTTGTTGTTGTGCTAGGTGTGATCTCATGGTGCCATAATACAGATGTGATGCAGCTGTTTCCATCCTGATAACCACCTACAGCGATGAGCTTTTGTTTTATGGTTTGTTGTGTTTTTGTGAAATCAAGGCGAGAAAACAAACATGTAGTGAAAACCATAGTTGTGATTTCCCCCACTGTCTGATAAACCCAGTGACAGTGGGACAGGACATGATGTCTCTCAGCTACACCCCCCCCCCTCCATGCCCCCCTGCTGCCTACAGCCTCCTGTTGTTATTCCAGCTTCTCCACCCTGTGTTGTCAAAGTACGGTCTGTAAATCAGCCCCGCCTGCCGCCTAGCCAAGGTTAGAAGAAAGGTTTTTCCAGTAGTCATGTCAAACAGCCATGGAGGAGCTCTGTGCAGCTAAAAGTCTGAACCAGCGGCTGCCAGAGTGAAGAGGTGGCGTCTTTTGCACAGAGAGAGTGGGACAAAGAAAGAGCAACAACCAGGGTTAATATGGATTTGGCTGTTTGACATGGGGAGGCTGCATTTGGTACAGTTTGTCTCAACCAGGCATCTGTAGTTTACATCATCGCTAGACAACAGGAGTGATGGGGGGGGGAGCAGAGAGCGGTAGGAGGGGCTGATGGCGTCTGTTTTGAGTCTCAGTGGAGCCTCTAGGCTGAAAAGACATTAGGCAAGGCAAGTTCATTCACATTAGGGAGAGGAGCCGGGCATTGGAGAGAAAAGATGTGAGAAAGATGTCTCCCTCCTAACTGATAGTAACAGCCTCTCTCCCTCTCTCTCTCTCCCTCCCTCTCTCTCTCTCTCTCAGAACCGGGAGGCGGAGTCTGTGTTACCGCATCGTCTACCGTCACATGGAGCATACTTTGACCCAGCAGGAGGTTCGGCTCATCCACCAGCAAATTGAACGTGCTGCTGAGGTCGAGTTGGGTGTGCAGGGCAGATACTGAGACACACACTTACTGATATCTATATACACACACTCAGCAGCTCTGGGTGTGTGTGTGCTTCATGCCTCTGTAGCTGTGATATTTCACTGCAGAAAAAGTGTGCTGACATTAATACAGACACGTGACACCAGCACATCGTCCTGGCTGTGTTCTCTCCTTATCAGTGTTGTACCCGGTACTTTTTACCATACTGACTCTGAGAGACGAGACAGTCCAAGTAACTTCAAAACAGTGCTGATTTATTCAAAGGATCACAGGTAAAATTAACATTACACGCTCAGGTATCTTGCACCTCCAAACTGCTCGCAGGCAGATGTAAGATGAAAGACCCTGAACCCACCAGGCCTATACATTATATCCCCTCGGTTGGGCTAGCCCCATACTACACAGAAACGTCAACCGAGACGTCTCTGTTACCAGCTTTGCAGCTGGTCATAGCAGTAGTCAAAACATGAAGCAAATCAATGTGTGAATGTGTCTGTTGATTAAGTGGTGTGTAGCTAAAAACATTCTCACACGACCTCTAGTAACATGTCGTGACATTAAACATAAGAACATATTATGGCTAAGGCTACAGTTATACACGTCATAATAATAATATTAAACACCCTGTCTGCTGACAGTCATCAACTCTTCTCTCTAGTTATCCTTGACCAGATGTACCCTGTAGAAACTCATAAGCATGACTAAACATTTAACAGTCTAACTAGACATCCTATCTCCACTAAACATTTCTAATACATAAAGTATCTAACCAATATCTATCTGACTAAAAATACCTAACATCAGCCTGAAACGTCCAGATTTGACGCGTGTCATATTTAATTTCCGAAAGCATCTTCTGCTCATGCTCTGTCAGCGGTTTGTAATGTTACAAACGGTCGCGATCTGTCGACTCTGGGATAAATGTAGATTTTGTGACGGCAAACAGAAGCAGTTGGGCCACGGCAGCTATTCTGTGACTGATCACAGACACAGAGAAGCTTTAGAACCACAACAGATAAACACAGTGGATCAGTCGCTCCAGACATTCAGAGACACCAGCTTCATTAAACACAAGTGACCCTAACCCTACCACTGGTAACTCAGTAACTTGTTACAGGAAACTGATTACTTTTGTCAGTAGAAACACAGCACTGACGGTACAAGTAGAGATGCTAGTAACACTCCTGTATTTTGACACTTGTCTGTTTTAAGAGGAGCAATGTTAGCTCGGCCCAGAGGCTCAAGGTCAGGGATGACAGTTTACCATAATAAAGTAATTCCAAAGGTGTCTTGTTCACTTGGTGCAGGTGCACATACAGTGAAGACCTCTGCTTAGAGCTCGGAGGTCTCTGGCCCGTGTGTGCAGGCCCACATTCTGTGTCTTTTGGGGCTTTTGTTCCACATATGCAACCTTCAGAATCGACTTCTGATGACTTGGCAAGTCCAATAAACGATCCACACAAAATAAGTAATTAGTTAAAATACCACACTAAACAGACGTTCACACGATGGGTCCTAATGCCTGCTTCTCAGAACCAGATGAGGTGTTCAGCCACTGTACCACTGACAGTTTATGTTGTGAGGTCCAGAGTGTGGGGACGTGTGTCAGATGAGCTTAAACAAACAGAACAGAAACACTTTGATTCACAGAAATCAGCTGTTACCTGGACATGAAGAGAGACCGTTGTTTGTCGTGCTCACAACAACACAACCCATACAAATAATCTTAGAAACTTTTCATTATATTGCAAAAAAAACCTCTTTAGGTGTTTTTTTCTTCAGGGTTTGTATCCTCAGGTAAAAGCAATAAAGTCGTTTGGTCACATTGTTCTCGCTGAATGTTGTTATTCACCCCTAAAACAGACTTGTACCTTCTGCAGCTACAGAAAACTACACACTGATCAGCCACAACATTAAGACCAGTGGCAGGTGGAGTAACACTGATGAGCCCGTTACAGTGGCCCCCGTCAGGGTGTGGGGCAGACCAGGCAGCAGCTGAACAGCCAGTTGTTGAAGTTGATGTAGCAGAAAACTGCATTGTGAGGATGTGATGGTCAGAGCAGCTCCACACAGCAGGCCTGTGGGCCGCTCCCAGTCTGCAGCGGCCAGTACCTACCAGCCGCGTCCAAGGAAGGACAAATGGTGAACCAGCAACAAGGTCATGGGCGCCCGAGGCTGATGCGCGTGGGGAGCAAAGCCTAGCCCGTGTTGTCCGATCCCACAGAAGAGCTACTGTAGCACAAATAGCTGGAAAACTTAGCGCTGCCTATGACAGACGGGTTCCAGTGCATCGCACATGCTGTGTATGGGTATGTGTGTGTGTCGCCTGCCTGGGGACGAGATGGTGCCAGGATGCATTATGGGAAGAAGGCAAACTGGCAGAGGCAGTGTGGTGCTCTCTTGGCCTCCACCATCCCCAGGTCTGAGTCTGATCACCAGTGGGATGAACTGGACAAACAAGTCGATACATGGAGGCCCCACCTTGCAGCATACAGGACTCAGAGGACCTGCTGCTGACGCCTTGGTGCCAGATAGCAGAGAACGCCTTCACAGGTCTGTGGAGTCCAGCTCTTGACGGGTCAGAACTGCTTCGGCAGCGCAAGGGGACCTACAAACACACACACACACACACACACACACACACACACACACACACACACAGCTGGTCATAATGTTATGGCTGATCAGTGTAAAAGTAACTACATAATTGCTGAACAAAGCGAATCATCCTGCAACCATCAGTGTTTTTATGAGCACACCAGTCTCCTCCTCCACTCCACACATCATGTACTCCTAAATGTCTCGAATTCAATTTTCCAAATGCCAGGTCCTGAAGGTTGTTTTATTAGTCCAACATTTGAACACATGATATTTGACCATAAAAATTTTATCAGCTCTTATGTCTCCTTATTAGTTATCTTTGAGTGAATCACTGTAAGGCTGTTGACCCACTGTTTGCCTCACACTGACCACTGATGCACTGTGGAGAGGAAGTACTACAGCATGTGTTTTGGAGAAACAGATGCATTTTCACCTTCTCAGTGTCAGCCCTCCTGCAGAGGCGGGGTGAGCAGCTGGGGCTCAGCCTGGCTCGGGCACCTCTTGTACAAACCCTTTCTGAAATCTGATGCAGCCATGTGGCGTGAAATGACAGCAGGTCACTGGTCACAGTTTTAGTCACTTCCTTTCTTTTTGCAGTTTTTCCACTTGATCTTGTGAAAATTATAGGTAGGTAGGACTTTATTGATCCCACAATGGGGGAATTCCTGTGTTCCAGCAGCAATAGAGAGCAGCAACAAAACACCATAAGAACGAACACCACACACATATCTTGAGAAACAGATTCCAAAGTACCTAAAACCAGACAGAATATAATATTTGAGAGACAATCAGGAACAAGATAATCCTCCCACAATTAATCCCTGAGAACAAATCAAAAATACCTAACAGCAGGATAAAATATAGTATTTGAGAGGAATCGAGAAATAAAGGACAAGAATATTACTCCCATAATTAATACAATATAAACTATTTGAGAAATCAAGGACAAGATTTGACACCTGCATATTAACCATGCATTTTACCCCAGGATTTGAGTATTGCACCTCAGTTGACTATTACATAGTCCCTCATAATTTCACCTGTCTTATCACTGCAGTGATGTGTTGTACAGTCTGATTGCTGTGGAGAGGAACGACATACGGTAACTTAGCTCCATTTTACACTGGGGATGTAGCAGTTTTGCACTAACTGTTCAGAGCCACCACTGTGTGGTGCAGGGGATGGGAGAGGTTATGCATGATGGATGTTAGTTTTACCAGCATCCTTCTGTCCGCCACCTCCTCGATGGAATCCAGAGAGCAGTCCAGGACAGAATCAGCTCTCTTAACCAGCGTGTTTAGTCTCTTTCTGTCCCTGTTCGTGCTACCTCCCACCCAACCCACAACAGCGTAGAAAACTGCAGATACCACCACAGAATCATAAAATGTCTGAAGGAGTGCCCCCCCGCACACTAGACGACCTCAGTCTCCTCAACAAGTGGAGGCGGCTCTGGCCCTTATACATTGTAATATCTGTTTTATATTGGTGGGTGACAAAACCACTTCTTTTAAATGAAGACAAGGGACTTTTATCAGTAGGCAACTTGATCATCTAATTTCTCCTCCAGCTCCCAGGTTTTCTGTCTGTCTGTCTGTTTTTGGTGAATGCACGTTTGGATGCTCAACTGAAACACTAGTGGTGAATCCCAACTGCCCCTAATTCCATCCACATTTCCCTCGCTTGCATTTCTTCCCTGCATCTTAGTCCTGCCCACATAAGATGCAACAAAGACTACGTTCACACTGCAGGTCTTAATGTTCAGATCGGATTTTTTGCCGAAATCCGATTTTTTTGCGCTGTTGTTCACACTGTCATTTAAATGCGACTGCCATCTGTCGAAGACGTGACGTCAGACGCAAAGTACTGTGTTTGCGAAAATAAAAATGAATGCGGCTCATGATACCATGTGTGTAGCGATGTGCCAGTTAATGTGCAATCGAAATAAAGAAATAATAGTAAGACGAATATCAAGAAGAAGGAGAGCACAAATATTGCTTATGGCCTCGCCTCCTCCAGCGCAGAATTGTGACGTCTGTCGCATTTCAATGACATAAAAATCGCATGAAATGCGACATGGCCGTTCAGACTGAAGTCGCATTGCAAAACATCGGATATGTATCCGATTTAGGACCACTACTGAAAGTGGCCTGGGCCGGATTTGAAAAAATCAGATTTGTGCTGTTCACACTGTCATAAAGAAATCGGATATGGGTCACATTTGGGCAAAAAGATCGGATTTCAGCCACTTCAGCCTGCAAAAAAGAGATGTTTTAACTGACATGAGACGTCCTTCCATCCAATCCTTCATGTGAAGTGTCCAATCACCAGCTGATTTCCAATCAATGGGCATGTCAATCTGTAACAGATGGAGGATGCACTCATGTATCCTCGGTCATAGCTCCCTAGGCTCCTTCGTCATGGCGGACTGGAACTACTTCCAGGTTGAGTTAGGACCAAAGACAGAGGAACGATAAAATAAAGAATTGACAGTGTGAGGGAGGTTTTGGTTTTGCTTTTGAACCTTCTCCCCAGTGCACCTGCTTTCTTACAGGTGTGCGACGGCGTTCCTCTGGAGTAATCCTGCAGTTTGCAGTGAGGTCTGGCCATTGGACACAGAGTACGAGCGAGGCCTTGTTTACCGCCTG